ACACACACACACACACACACACACACACACACACACACACACACACACACACACACACACACACACACACACAAACACCCCACCCTGTGGTTGAGTAGCACACGCCCGCCGGCCAAGACGACATGTTTTGTCAGCCGAGTGAAGCCAACCACTATTTAGTACGACCGCAAAGCTGCAAAGTCGAACAAACAGTCTGAAGTGTGACTGGCAGCCGGTCAGACGGACAGAAATACTGAGTGACAGACTGTTGGCATGCAGCATCGTGAGAGAAAAACTGTCTGCAAGCACTTATTCATTTCTTTTTTTCATCAATGAACCAATAGGGGAACAAAATGTTTGAAAAAAGGGGATTTCTGTTAATCTTCCAGAGTTTAAATATGTATTCTCGTGGCTTTTTAATGTATTTAAAAGTAATTATATGTGTTTGTTTTGCACTGTCTTAAATGCTTTTAAAGTTTTTTGTAAAGCACGTTGAACTGCCTCGTGTTGAAATGTGATAGCTAGATAAGCCTGCCTTGCCTTTTGGGTATTGATGCAGCCTGTAGGAGGAGGGGCGTGTGAAGTGAAGTGGGTTGTACTACAGATGTGAGAGACATGGGGGATGTGGGAGGAGGAGGGAAGGGGAAGGATGGATGCGTGGATTTGTTACTCAAAAAGTAGCGAGGGGTAGGTGTGTGTTCACAATAGGGTGGGGGAATTTCCTCTGATTAATCCCTGACAATAATCATAGCGTGGGTTGTTCATGATTGGACTCACCTCAGACAAAACCTGCAAAAAATCAAGTCTGCTTACGAGAACTACAGTATCTGTCACTACACGTAGGCATGTCATGTGTGGGCAGCACCCCCGTCCGGGTTGTGATTTCTATAGCAAACCGAAGCCGGATTCCTGACAAACCCTTTCTCAATAACACACCTGGGCGAAAAACAAAAACAAGAATAGACGTCAAGGACGACCGCTGGTTACTAAACTAAATTGTTGTTTTGTTTCCAGCAGCGTGGGGGAAACCGACTCAGACTCTTCGTCCATCGAGAACGATTTGGGAATCCCCCCTTTTCTTTCTTCCTCTTTAATTCAAGCCACCCCCGTTTGTTTGCTGCGGCTGCTTTCTGGGTCCCTCAGGGGTCAACCCCAATCCTCTCTCAGACATAACAGAGGAGGGGATTGTATGAAAAACCTTATTTGATGTCGGGAAGATCACAGAGACGTGAAGCACCCCAGATTTTCTTTGTGTTGTACATTAGGGTCCCGGCAGAAAAAGAAAAAGTCCTCTGAACTTTTCAACAATACTACCAGCAAACCCAACAGCCCCGCCCGAGCCCCTGAACACACGTCCCGGTCTCTCTAATCCAAACACGCCGCCATAATCTCCCGCTATCATCCCGACTCATCTACCAGCCGAGGAAGTGGTGGAAACCAAACAAACGACAAGAGACAAAAGGAACACTTTCACCTTGATCAGCCAGGCAGGCAGACTCCAGAGGGAGGGAGGAGGGCAGAGAAAAGCAGAGATTTAAACGTCAAAGACATGAAAGACGTCTACAGCAGACAGGGAAGAGGGTGAAGACTACACCTGAGAGAGAGATAGAGGATCAAAGAGGGATGAAGAGTCTTAGATCAGGTAAACTAAAGAGGGGAAAAGGGAACGGGGAGAGAGAGTAAGATGATATCTCCGTCTGCACCCAACGAGAGATTCTAAGCAAGACTTTGGACTACCGTGCAAATTAGACGACTTTATAACAGCTGGGTTCAAGTGGATTTTGATCCCCCAATAGCATCCTAGTGCTCAGCTGTTATAGTTTAAAGCTAACGGACGCTATTCATGCTGCATGAAGCCAAAAACAAAGACGTTTAAACGTACCAACTAAAGGCTTTGCAAACATGACAGAGACTGTTACGATAATGGATTCTGATTCTTATAATATATTATTAAAGCCATGCTTATAAATATCAGTATTTATTGAAGATTCTCTGAGGTATTTGTCCTTGTTGAAGTAAAAATACACAGAGAAACAGAAGAAACACAGGTTTGAATTGGGCAAATAACTTGAACAAACTGTATTGAGCAACCGCCGATATAATCCACCAGTGTCTATTTTTATTTGAGCGGGCAAAAGCAACAATCGGCACCGTGTAAAAAAGAGAAACTGCCCACCTGTTCCTGATAAAGAGTGCAAGGCGAGACAAGAGATTAGTGTCTTATAGCCTCAGGTATTTTATCCACCTGTCTTAAACATTAATGATCCATGATTGACCGATCATTTAAGGGTTATAAAATAAACCCAAAAATCTGTTTTATATCAGGGAGTGAATTAGAAATGATGACCGACCTGCTGCATGTATTAGTGGATGTATTATCACGTGCACAGCGGCTATAGTGTAGATATGAAAAGCTGAAGTGACAGGCTCCTCCAACCAGTGTTCATTTTGGCAGCTATTTTTGATTTAGTCTTTAGACGAAAATGGTCATTCGTTTTTTTGACTTGAGACATTTTGAATGTCCGATAGTCCACCATTAACACCTTTGTGCCGTCTCCTCAACGAAAACTAAATATACATTTCGTCAAAGTTTTTACTATCAAAAATCTATTTTTAGCCCGTCATCGGCTCGTCTTAGTCGTGTAAAAAAGGTCATAGTTTTCGTTGACGAAATGAACACGGCCTCCAACAGAGCAACATGAATATATATATAGGACAGAGAACAGATTGAACCAATACAAATAGTGAAATAAATAACAACAGAAATAAAATAGTGTAAGAGAATGTTTTGAGATGTGAAAGTAAATACAAATAAAATAGAAAGCGTGCAAGAAGAGTCTATATACACGTAAATGGAATATGATTTATAGACAAATAAATTACCAGATGTAAACAGATGAATGTTTATGGAGAGCATGCAAGTTATTAAGTGAGTGTAACGCACAAAATACTGACTGTGACCGGTTTAAAACTTGGACATCTGAGTGTCTTTGATCTGTGAATGTTTGTGAAAAAGCCTGAGGAACATTTCACATAACGAAAACAAAAAGGTTTTCAGCTTTGCAAAAATCAGCTTGTTTTCAAAAGTGTAAATTCAAAGGTTCACACTACTTGTTTTTGCAAGATCTAGCTGAATATACAGCGACATGTTTATGGTGGTGATGTGGACAAAATGAGAGTGAATGTGAGACAGACAGAGGAGGGGGGGGGTGTTAATGTCTCCCCCGTGCAGGTGAGTCTCCTGCGGGTCCTCTGTCCTAACACCCTATTGTCTCCTTATCTACTTCCTCTCTCCTCCTCTGCAGACGCTGCCTGTTTAGACTGCCGCTTGATCGCCCTCTCGGTCTCCTCTCATCTCTTCTTTCATTATCTCTCTCTCTCTCACACACTCTCTCTCTCTCTCTCACACACACTCTCTCTCTCTCACACACACTCTCTCTCCACAGCTGCAGCTAAACCGTACGCCACGAGTGCGAACAGGACTTATGAACCTGATGTCCAGGTGTATATTTAAAGGTTCAGCCTACTGTTTACACGTAGACTGACATGGATTGCATATAGTTGATACAGTGTGTGTGTTATTAATCAGTTTTACTCTGAACCAATGCATGTGTATGTACTGTTCTTGACGTGAGACATATATTTATCATACTATGTTTCCTAGCTTGGGTTTTTCTCCATATTACAAAGAAATAAGGTTGAGTCAAATAGAATAAAAATATGTGTATAACATAAGGGGTTAAAGTGCAAATGTGCACACTGTACTGCAATACATTTGTAGTATTAATAAGATATATGAATGAACTGATCCAGTTTTGTGCCATACTGTAGCACCACCGTCTATTGAAGTACCTTTTTGCATTATTTATTCAATTGTTGAAGAAGGACAATTGGCTCAGACCCCCGCTCTCTTCACCTCATCGCTTCTGTAGTTTACTCATAATCTCTTCATGCTTCCTTTATTTACATCATCCCATCATCTCCTCTCCTCCACCAACACTTGTTTTGGCAACTACCCCCATTTCCCCTCATCTCGCCCCCCAGTGTGTGTGTGTGTGTTATCTGAGAGAGTGGATCTCTGACATGCCTCGTGCTTCTGTGTAAATAGGATAAAGCTCAGAGGAGAAGTGCCTCCTTTCTTCTCTCGCTTCAGGAAGATGACAGGGCATATATTGTCAGAGGAAACCAAAAATAAAACACGGTCACTAGTGGACCTAGCTGCTCCAAAATGATTGGCATGATTCAAGCTTGTGTGAGTGATATTGTCATAATATTATTCTTGATGACATTATCTTTACTATCACCATGTATGATCCCAGAAGGAGATATTAGGGGCGGAGTGGCGCAGCGGGCTGTGCGTTTGATCATCAGATCAAGGGGGCGTTGGGGAACTCCAGTTCGAAACCCGCTCCCGCCGCCACTGCGTCAGGCCGTCGTGTCCTTGGGCAAGACACTTCACCTGAATTTGCTCCTGTGGGTATTGTCCACAGTACATGTATGATATTAATGTGTACTTGTAAAGCGCCTTGATGACTTTGAGGTGTGAAGATGGGCGGTGTGGCGCAGTGGGCTGTGCATTGATCATCAGATCAAGGGGGCGAAACCCGCCCCTGCCGCCGCTGCGTCTGTAAAGCCGTTGTGTCCTTGGGCAAGACACTTCACCTGAATTTGCTCCTGTGGGTATTGTCCGTTACATGTATGTATGTGTAATGTGTATCTGGAAAAAGTGCTATAATAAATATAAGGAATTATTATTATTATTATATTTCTAGGGATTAGATTAGATATACTTCATTGATCCCAAATAGGAAGAACTCTACATTTGACCTTTATATTTAATTGAATATATGTGTGTGTTTCTACAGAAGGTCCAGTTGTGATAGACACGGTTCCCCACTGGAATACAACATATACAAGTTGCTTAGTGTGATTGAAAGGGGAAAAGGAAAGGGAGTATTGATACTAGAGTGAAGGTGCAATATGGTCCTTGTCACTTTGCATGTGTTTGTGTGCCGACCTACCCTCAGTTGGTAAAGCCACGGGGTACACCTCCTTCAGCAGGTCACCGAGAGTGTGCACGTGGCCTTCAGGTGAAACGGGACGAAACTGTTTCTGGATGAACGGCCGGTCGCTCAGCGTCTGAAACAAATATGAGCACGGCAAATCAACAAGCGTGCATAAACATCCAGAAATAGGGCACCAGGTGTGTAGTAAAGTAGCTCCAAAGACAACAAATACCCATCACCTAAATATGCTACAAGACTAAATCATATTTCAATCTGATTAAAAGATGCAGCTGTACAAATATTGTTTAGGATTTGAATCGTTTACTCATCAGACATGTGATACTGATTCAACGCAATTCTCTGGAAAAAGCACACATAATATCCTGTAAGTGGGATATTTTTAGGTACGTTTCTCAAAGTTGAGCAAGTGGGAAAACAACGACACAACTATGCACGCTATTGCTGTGAATACACTGGGAATGATGTGCTTTTCATGTGATATGGAGCAATCGGCAACATTTCCACAGATGTTACGGGCGATGCGGAAATGTTGTAATGATCATCAGCCTGGCAGTCATCAAATGCTGCTGAAGTCAAGGCAAGGCAAGGCAAGGCCTTACTTGGCTGATCAAAAAGTCAGCTTCTACACATGTATTGTATTTTCAACATGTATATTTTTTACTTTTTTTAATGCTATTTTATTTCTATTTGAGAAGTTTACATTTTGACTTGTTCATTTCTAGTCTTTTAATTTCTCTAATGTGCAATGCCTTGTCTTTTGATGGTGCAAACATTTCCCAAATCGAGCTCAATTAAGTACATCTTATCTTATCTTATCTTATACGACAGATATATCCGTCATTCTGCGAGGTTCTTAGATGGAGAGAATACAAATAAATGTGACGTTGTTGTGAAGTTGAGATGTGGATTTATGTTCAATCTAAAACACATGCGTGAAACTCAAGGACCGGGGGCCAAATCAGGCCCGTGGTGGATTTAATTTCGTCCCGCAGGATAATTTGTAATTACTATTAGATCTGGCCCGCCCGTATATTGCACGCACACCTTCACTCAATCCTGAGGGTCTCCTCAGCTCAGAGCCTGACCCCAAACATTGATGAACTTGCACCCAAGATGAGATGCCAAGTATCTGGCTTGAACTAGCATCACAGAGCAGCACACTGAGTTTAATGGATGTTTCCTTCTGCACTTTTTTTCTTGAGACAACAGGGCATGTTTGGTTTGTTCTTTGAGGGAAATAGTTTTTTTGAAGCTGTTGTTGGCCTGTGGAAAAATGTAATCATAAGAAAATGACTCTGCAGATCGAGCCATAAGAAATGACTGCAACTGATTATTTAATGTTTAATGTTGTTTTTATAGGCAATCATTTAAGCTTTGTTAGTTCCAGGTTTAATATGTGCAATAAGTTCATTTCAATAAGTTTTGCAATAAACATTGAACCAGTCCGGCCCTCGACTAGTACCCATTTTTTAATTTTGGCCCACTGTGTATTTGAGTTTTACACCCCTGAATAAAAGGACACTTCAGAAAAGTGGGTGATTAACTATTTTTGGGGTAAAGAAAGCAACTAATTCAACTCGTCCCCATTCTTGTTGGGGGAATGTAGAGCAATGATTAATGGTCAAAGCTCTTATGCATTTTGAAAATAACCCTCTTTCTCTCCATTTCCTTTTCCCTAGACTGTTAAGATATTTCTAAAGTCAAAGGCATACCGTCATGATGATGTTTCCCTGACCTGTGACCTCCTCTCTATACGATAATGGTCTAGAAACCAAAGCTTATCCAACTGCTGACCACATTGCAAATCACTCGACGACCACTAAATGCCTCAAATGTAAACTGACTAAGTCATGATGGGACGGCTAAACAAAAGTGACGTATGCAGCAAACATCCTCATGACTGTTCGACTCTGATCTGAAAGCCTGCAGCCAAAACATTCCCTGAGTGAGAACTGCGGGAAACATGGTGGGAAATTACCGGCAGACGCCAGACAAAAATCTAGTAAACTATGTCCAGAGCTGGTAATGGACTTTGACTCAGGAGTGTCAGTACAGAGGGGAGCGCATGTTGTACAGATTGGTATTCCCTTTGAGGCAATTCAACTAAAAAACAGATCTAAATAAAACCAGTTTTAAGAAATGTAATTTGAGATGATACTCAGCATTACAACATACTTGATTTAATTTAAAGGTCACCTATTATGCAAAATGCTCTTCTTCATGTCTCTTCTACATCAACATGTGTCCCCTCTTCTTCATGTCTCTTCTACATCAACATGTGTCCCCTCTTCTTCATGTCTCTTCTACATCAACATGTGTCCCCTCTTCTTCATGTCTCTTCTACATCAACATGTGTCCCCTCTTCTTCATGTCTCTTCTACATCAACATGTGTCCCCTCTTCTTCATGTCTCTTCTACATCAACATGTGTCCCCTCTTCTTCATGTCTCTTCTACATCAACATGTGTCCCCTCTTCTTCATGTCTCTTCTACATCAACATGTGTCCCCTCTTCTTCATGTCTCTTCTACATCAACATGTGTCCCCTCTTCTTCATGTCTCTTCTACATCAACATGTGTCCCCTCTTCTTCATGTCTCTTCTACATCACCATGTGTCCCCTCTTCTTCATGTCTCTTCTACATCAACATGTGTCCCCTCTTCTTCATGTCTCTTCTACATCAACATGTGTCCCCTCTTCTTCATGTCTCTTCTACATCACCATGTGTCCCCTCTTCTTCATGTCTCTTCTACATCAACATGTGTCCCCTCTTCTTCATGTCTCTTCTACATCAACATGTGTCCCCTCTGTGGAAAGAGATTCTGAAAGTTTCAGGAAAAAAGATTCTCTCTCTTTTTGTCCTGATCCATTTATATAATAGGGATGGGAATTTGAAAGCAAATGTATATTCGAATATTCGACCCCCCAAAAAACGGTTAACCGGTTAACCGAAATGTACATATCCTATAAAAAAAAAAATTGGGTAAAAAAAAAAATTCTACATTTTTATTCGAAAAACAATATTTCAATAACTTTTGGAAATAAATAAATACATGTTCAAATAAGTATAGAAACCAAATTGAATTTGTCAAATGTATTGAACTGGTGATCACAGTTTGACAGCCATAGGCCTACAGCTTTCATGTGCGGAGGCGATTCACAATCAGGCCAGCTGTAGAGAAGACCCTCTCAGCTGGAACGGAGGTTGCGGGTATAGCAAGGTATAGTATGTATATATATAACTTTAATTTGGCATACTTTGCACTCTACACCGCACTCACTAACCTGGTCGAAATATTTCCACACATTACTCCTTTTTGACGCCATGTCTGTTGTGTAGGACTCTTCTTAGAGTGTAAATAATTACCGGACTATGACTGGTAAAATATGTTGAATACCGGCAAAACTAAATCTCTCCTGTCAAAATGTCTATGTACTTTGCCGCCACACACGGTTGCCGAGCAGTGCTTATTGTTGTTTAGGCTGGCCACTCATGTGTTGCGAGTGTTGACAGGGGGCGGGGGAGCACGCTCATGAACTGTTAGCACCGGAACCTCGCAACGGCTGCGGAGCGCATTTGCGCCGCATTTGGGCATAAGATGAGGTTTGAGTCTGCGTGATTTTCGTGTAGGCAGGGGCAGCAGGCATATCATTAGCTAGAACTAGCTAGATCTATGGATTTGGACATAAACGTGAGTGAAGTACCGGACGCGAGAGAGAGAGATCAGCACCTGCAGCTCTGCCCGCTGTGAGGGACCGGTGAGCGGAGCAAAACACACCTTTAGACGTCACCTAACACATTTAGCTATGGCACTGTCGTATACATTGAATTATTCAATTTGATAATATGTAATCAACTTAAACATCCCTCCCAAAAAAAAAAATAATAATAATAATAATTAATAAAAATATTCATAACTCATATTCGAATACCTGAATAATTTCGAATATTCGAATATTCAATTAATCGTTCCCATCCCTAATAAAAACCTGTCTGAAAAGGAGCTGATCAGATTTTGGCCACTTTATGATGTCATAACGATTTTTTGGCTTGTGTAGCCATTAGCCAATCAGCCACTAAGGTAACCCCCCCCCCCCACCTTATCACCTGAATCTCCTCCTAGAGCACCATTGTGTTCTTTTTAACCAAATATCTCTCAGAGGGGCGTGGGGAGGGGCTCCTTATTTTCATCTAAAGTAACAGACAGAGAATCAGCACTTTGGAAACAGGGCTGAAACAGAGGGGATTATGGGATGCTGCAATGATCTGTTTGGTGTTGGAGCCAAACACTTCAGAGACATGTTTGTATATATCTGAGACCTATAATATATTGATGAAAAACAGTATAATAGGGGACCTTTAATGAGAACTTATTTTCCGATTAGATCCAATTATCTCACCTTCGTTCGTGGACCAGTTTAAGATAACATAAATCATTGGCGTTGTCTTCGGCTGATTAGGGCAATTATTAGATGATCTTTATCTGCGTCTGTAGTTTGCTGTGTTAAAACTATGTTTGATGGACTGAGCTATGTGAGAATTACATAGACAAAAATGTCCCCTTAGATAAAAGGCACCCCTTTGTGCCGGTTTAAACTGAACACATGTATGTAAAACCCAATATCGGCCAATGTCTCCATACAATCCTAATGAACTTTTGCTTATTTGCATAATACTTTAGCAATTTCTAGCCTTCCTAAGCAGCCCTGGTATTTTGAGGGTGTTTCTCAATGTCGAGGACGCTTCCTTGGTAGGACAAGTCCCTCCGAGTCAGGTCCTTCAGAAGCGAGGCAATAATCCTTCCTAGCCTCGGAAAACGAAGAATTGTGGAACAGGCTAACAGGTGTGCGTCATATGCGAGGCCCCGCCTTAAATGGAGCGCGATTTCCGCCAAAGATTTGGAAATTGGTCCGTGCGCAAAGCATTGTGGGGATTTTAAGACCGCGGAGGATACACATGTGCAGCCTCGACATTTCATAGCACTCGATGACGTAGCATCCTTGAAATAGTGGCTCTGGAGCAGCTTTCCTCGACATTGAGAAACACCCCCAGACTGCTCCTCGGTGGGCTTGGACTGCTGTTGGACGCACTCACTACTCCAATAATCAATAGA